AGCAGGGGACAATTTGGTGCAAGAATCCAAAAGCACCAGGTGAATACTTTAAGTAAATAAACATTTTAAACTTTGAAAGTGCTGCAAAAACAATTGAAATCAATACTGTAGAGTATGACAGTGATAAATATGATTAAGATAAAGGGTTAATTGCTTCTATCAGTAGGATGCTAATGTGATAATGGCAAAAGCACCTTTTGTTTACTCTTTAGTTGCTACTCGTGGAAAATAACTTTAAATAATGAAGGCTGCTACAAGGATCTCATTCTGCTGTCATAATTCTCAGAGCCCAGTTATCTGAGGATGGTGGCCCTTTCTTCTGAAATGTTTCATTAGCCATATAGATTGACAGAGGACCCATAGTGTAATATGAAGGCAAAAGAAGTCAGGATCAGCCCAGGATACCTGTGAAGATAAAACGAGGTCACCACCTTGCTAAAGCTAAGCGAGTCTGGGACTGGTCAGTGTCTGGATGGGTTTCCACCTGGAAACCATATGCACACTGATTTACTTTCCATGGTGAAAGAAAGGCAAGGATTTTAATGAAAGAAAATAAAAAGTGTAAATGCATGTGTTCCATGGAACACAAGCGACAGCATAAGTCCTATGAAACAGGAAATGCTAAAAACAATAAGGCGAGGCTGTTCTACTTAATGTGTCTTACAGACAACCCCTAGATAAAATGCCTTATGCCGCTTTTTCCATACAACTGCAGAAGGAACTGTAGGAAGAGAATCTTTTCCCTCATGGGAGGAACAGGCAGTGTTTACACAGGGCCATTGGTAACAAACTTTTCAGGGGGGAAAGGAGCGTGATATTTTATGTACAGGTTTTTTTCCAGGCTCTAGCGGAAGAGAATTAGGTCATGTAAATATGTAGTGATGCCCTTTCTATCTGGAGGCTCCACTACAAATTGTGGAGCTTTGCAGATCCTTCCAATAGTAAGTAGTATTTGGGCCAAAGCCTACATCCGAGTTATGGCTACACTCCTAAAACAACTTACTCTAGAGTATTTGCTCTAAGGTATGTTATTGGAAGAGAATGTTCTAAGGTATGTTATTGGAAGATAGATGCCTAAATGCACTTATTTTATTTATACTTGTTTCTCTGCATCACAGAGATCAGTCTGCTTGAGAAAAGTGGGGTGTGAAGCTGGCCCTTAAGAATTCATCCCATTGAGCTAAATAGATTTAAGAATAAAAGCCTCAATGCACAATTGAATAAATACCTTAGGTGTGTACAGCACAGATCGTGGTGCAGCCTTTACAACATATTTAATAATACACATTCAAAAAACTGGCTTGAAAACTTGAAAGCCTTGTTTACTGGGATTAAGAGAGCCAGTGTGGTGTAGTGGTTAAGAGAGGTAGATTCATATTCTGGGGAACCGGGTTCGTGTCTCCGTTCCTCCACATGCAGCTGCTGGGTGACCTTGGGCTAGTCACACTTCTCTGAAGTCTCTCAGCCCCACTCACCTCACAGAGTGTTTGTTGTGGGGGAGGAAGGGAAAGGAGAATGTTAGCCGCTTTGAGACTCCTTCGGGTAGTGATAAAGCGGGATATCAAATCCAATCCAAACTCTTCTTAACACTAAGCACATGATGTATAACAGTATGCTCCCCCCTCATTTGTAACTCACACTCTCAGTACACTTCCATATGGCAGCTTTTGGTGCTGATGGTTTGGGCTATGGTGCATACAGTAATTTGATGGAACACCACCTCTCCTATGCCATGAGTGGAGAGCCTTCAGGCCACAGGCCTAATTAGGTTCACCAGCCCACCCCATTTGGCTCACAAAGCCATTTTGGCAAGCCACACCCATCTGCCCTACACCCGACATCACACATGCCATCGAGTAAGGAACATGTAAGGTAGAGCTTGGGCAAAAAGGGCTTTGCAGGCACCACTGATCAGGTTTGGAAACACTGCGCAATGTGCTTTGCAAGTGCTGGGCTTAGTGCCTTTTTTTTAGGAGGAGTTTTCCGTTATTCAGAGACCTCTAACAACAACAAAAGCTGGTTATGGGTTAAAGGGAGCTTCTTTGAAGGCACACTTCTGCATGGCTCAAAGAGGATTGCTCAAACAGATGATCAGTGATTACAGTGACCTCCTTGGAACTTTGACACCTGTCAGTTACCTGGCCTCATTATCACTCATTATGACATGATTGATGGGTGGATGCTCCTGCCTACCTACCAAAATTGGCCCATGGGGGTGTGTGCGATAAGACTCTGACCTGCCATCTGAATCAATTTCCTCATTCCTGTCCCATATTCTAAGGCCAACAAGCTGATGCATTCCTCCAAATACCACTTCTGTTGAAGATGAGGCTTGCAATTAAGGCAGGAATGGCACAGGGCTTTGCAAATCAGCTAATGGGTGATGCCTACCAACCCGCTTCCAGCTGTGTCATATTTTCTCCTGCCCCATATCATACAGATAATGTCACATATGATTTCAGGTGTAGGGCAGGAAAGCATAGCTTGGCCCAAATGGGCTGGAGGTACCCAAATACAGGTTTTCTGGAAGTGGTGTCCTAGCTATGAAATGCCATCTCTGGGGAAGTATGCCCTATGGTCCTTTAAGCACCAGGCAAACCATTAAAAAAAAAAATCATCCAGGCATGTGATTTTTTTTTTTAAAAATAGTTTATTCCCTGAGTATTAATTGTGCCTTTATGTGCTGTTTGTTTTATTTGTTTTACTTATTGATACTTTTATTTTTTTGTAAACTGCCTTGAAATAATTGCTAAAAGTAGCTTAGAAGTGCTTTCAGTAAATAAAAAAAGGGAAAACCTGTACCTGCAATTGACCTTTATGGAGCTAAGCTATATGATTAGTCATGCAGAAGTAAGCAACCTGTGGCATGCCAGATGTTGCAGCCCCTGCTATTTGCCATGATTTGGAGTCCAACAACATCTGGAGAGCCACAGGCTGCCCTCTTGTTAACTGCATGACTTCAGGTAGGGGTATTTCATTCCCTATAGCAGGGTTTCCCAAATTTGGGTCTCCAGCTGGTTTTGGACTACAATTCCCATCATCCCTGACAACTGGTCCTGCTAGCTAGGGATGATGGAGACCCAAGTTTGGGAACCCTGCCCTATAATATCCTACATGTAGAAAACAAAAATGTAAGAGAGAACAGCTGTAAGGCTGGTCTCCTCCCTGACTCACAACTTTTATATGCACTTGTTTTCAATGAGAAAGCATAAACGGGTCTGTGCTTTTTCTAACCCACCACTTGCCCCAAGAAAACCCGCTCTCTAACGCTCAATCAGAACAAACAGCAATTTGGGTTTTTCCACAGACTGCGGAGAGCGTTAAAGAGTGGGTTTCTGCAGGGAAAAGAAGTGGGGCAAAAGGAAGGAAGGACGTGGCACAGACTGGAAAAGCACAACCCAATACCTGGAAAGTGCAGAGGAAAATTAATGTGGATGAGCCCAGAGTCTCAGTCAGGACCATACATATAAACATTAATAAGTTGTTGTGAACTGGGGACAGCCTTCTTGGGACCTTTCATTAAAACTTAAAATGCCTTTGAGCCTCTCTCACATGCTGCTTGTACCAGCACACATGTGAGAGTTTGCCAAGCATTGGATAGAAAGCAAAAGAGAGATGGCTTTAATTCAAATACACCTTGTAAGCCAATTGAGTTTGCAGATGTAGAAAAGCCAGTTCAAACAACACAGGTGAAATTGGCCTAACTAAAGGTTTGCCCAGGTTGCTCTCATTTAAGGGATCAGGTGTGCAGTTTCATTACACTTAACCCTCTGGAAACTGGTCTTTGGCAAGTTGCTTCCACAGTCCCTGCCAGTCTCTCCAGCCAAGAGCTTAGCTAATTTATCAACAGAATTATTTGGACTTCCCTCCCCAGCATTGGCTGGCATCCATCACCAATAATAGTTAATAATATATAACCAAAATGGTTGGTTATATACATCTAACCAACAGTAGGCGGAGCCAGAACCAATGACGGGCAGAACCAGAGATAACTAATTATAGTTTTGTCCCCCATCAACCCTGCTGAGTTTTATGAGGGACTGAGGTGGAGGAGGAGGAAGATGGACTGGCTGCATAAGAAAGAGAGCAGGTAGAAGCTGATGCGGGTCGACTGGTGCTGGCAGGGCTCCTGTGGCTGTTGCCCCGTGAGGAGACCAACGGCTTCAGCTTCCACACACAACTGGCGTTTGGCGGGAAAAGGGCCGATTGGCGAGTATCGGCCGGCCCGTCGTGCCACGGGCGCGCGCGCGCGCATCGGGGTGGGCGGGAAAGAAGGGCTGTCAGTCATACACTTCTGGCAGGAGAGTCGCCTCGAAGAGCCCACCCTAGCAGGAAAGCTTGCCCGCAGAGAGGGGTCAGGGCCATAGGTCATGCCTGAGCATCATCTGCCTTTAATGTTATAATTGTATATATAATATATAGGGCTGCCTGTAGCCCCCTCCATTCAGAGAGATATGTAGGAAGGGCAATTCTGGAGGCGCCTAGCCGGCCGGCAGAGTCACCTCTTCGAAGCGAGAGGGGTAGGGGGCGGGCGAAGGTACTCGCCCCTCACAAACACCTCAGCAGTTCCACAAAAACTGAACCCCGAGAACTGCGGAAAGGGCTCCGTGGACAGCGCGCCAGAAGACTCCCGTCGCTTCCTTTTCGGAGTGCCGAGACCCCTTTACGTCCAAAAAGGCGCGAGCCGCGCGCTCCGGAAGGTTGGGAGGACGGAGGTGGCCGGGAGAGGTGGGTGGGGAGAGGAGGAGAGCAGCGAGCGGAGGGAGTTTCCACACACACACACACGCACGGAATCATACACACCTTGAGTGGAGCCAGTCGCTTTGCACAGGCACCCAGACACCGCAGGAGACGCACGCACGAGGCGCCTCACACACGCGCCGCGCACACACACACACACACACACACACAGGCGCGCGCAGGCAGCTCACACCCCGGCGAGAGGGCGCGCGTGGAACCCGAGCTGAGCAGCTTTCTCTTTTTCTTTCTTTCCTTTCCTTTTTTTGTATGCCTCCCTGCGTGTGCGTGCGCGCGTGTGCCTGCCCGCCCGCCTGCCTCTCCCCCCCTTCTCCCTCTCTTTCTATCTCTGTGGTGCCTCTTCCGACCCACGCGCTGCTCCTCTCTCTTTCTTTTCTCTCCCCCCCTTCCCCTCCTCTTTCCTCTCCCACCCCGACCCCCTCGCCACCTCTCTCAGCTCTCAAACTCTGCCTCCCCGAGCCCTGAAAAAATGCCTGGCCGTGAAGCGAGGAGAGGGCACCGGGTCTGTAAATAAGAAGTGAGTACTCGTTACAATGGCGCGTCTCGCTGGCTCGGAGAGAAGGAAAGAAAGAGAGAGAGATATATGCCTGGGAAGACAAAAAAAGAGAAAAATGCTGCATGCTCCTTTGCTTTTGCCGATGCATCTTCGCTCTAGGGCAGGGGGGACTCCCCCCCACACAAAAGAGCCCCACCCCACCCATTTGCAGGAGAGCCCGCTTTGCCCATGCCCACCCACCTGCCTCGCTGTCTTTCTCTGCCTCCATCCCTCCCTCGCCTCCCCCCCCCCAGCTCTCCATCCTTCTTGCACGAGCTTTCCTTGCTGCATGCAACACCTTGGCTCCTAGGCGCTTCCTTGCACTTAATCTTTGTTCAAGGGGTGTGTGTTGCTTCGGCTGGGGACATATGGAAAAGGGAAGGTGGGGGGATGAAGCCGAAGGTCCGGGAGGTCCATAAAACCCCTCCCGCATCCAGCCCGCTCCCTGCTATCCTTGTGGGCATGGGAAGACGCGCCGTTTGCAAACCATTTCAAGAGCATCTTTTCTCTTTATTTTTAAAGGGGAGAGGAGGAAAATGGGTTGCTTCCCTTTAAAAAAAAAAGTGGGGGAGGGGGAGGCATGGGGATGTAATTTATCTCTCGGGATGCTTTTCAGAGTGAAGGTTCCTTATTTACCCTGGGAGCGAGCGGGGTGGTGGCGTTGAATCTTGGCAAGGTGGATGAGCTTCATAAGGGCTAAGCAGGTGGATGGGGATGGATGAACAGCGAAGGATTGATGGGGAAGGGGGATGCCGAGAGTGGGGATGTCTGCTATATATGCGATCAGCGTTAAGAAGAAGACGCTTTAAGCTCCCATCCCTCCCACCCACCCCTGCTTTGTTAGCTTAGCTGCATACAGCTTCCTAAAGGGGAGTGGATCAAGGGAACTTAGGGACTGCACTTCCCTAGGGGGCCAGGATTTCCTTTGGAGTATGGGCGTGAGTTGCATCTGGGCAGAAGGTGGGAGGCACATTAAAAAAAATAACAATAAGAGAACAGAATGTCCTGGTGAATAACAGGAGGGCTGTTGCAACAAACCTGGATTGCCACCATTTTGGGGTGGGAGAAAGTGATGAAGCACGTTGAGGGGGAAGAAAGATCAAAGTGATAGTGCCAGCATTGAGCAGTGGTGGGATGGGGATTGCCCCACGGATTGTCCTAATTTTCCTCAACCTGATCCGCTACCCAGTTAAAGCAAAGTATATTTATCTGTCAATCCAAGGTATCCGTAAAAGTCCACAGGGCTTTAACGCTGGTAGCTGCAGCCCAATCAGCTTGTAGATTGCCCTGCCTTCAAGCCATTACCACCATCAGTCAAAAAGGGAGCTTACATTAAAGGCCCTAGGCAAGCATCATTCAAACCAGTGACTCTGTAATGCTCCCCCTCAAATCAATGGGATTAGTTCCATCACATCTCTTGCAGGCAGAGTGAGGTGGCTCTAAGACTGCACCTTCAGCCACTTAGAAATATCTGATTGCATCAGTGTAGTTGTTTGGCAGTAAAAGTTGCCAGGCAGCCAATACAATGAAGGGTCTTAGGCGTGTGAAGGTATTGCCTCAAGTTATAGCTTTCTAGGAGTTGAAAAAGAGTAACTACATGACAGCTCAGTGCAATGAGTCATGACGAATGATCACCTGAAGTTTCTCATCTGTGACAGTTCCTACCTGCTGCCCCTTTTGGGGGGAAGGGGAGCTCACGTCTACAGCTATACTAATTAAATTTACTATGCATGCAAGTCTCTCTTGTTCTATGTCTGAAGGTGCTATAATGCTATATAGTTGAACTTCTTTGCATGGGAAGTATGATACAACATTCTGCCACCCCCCTTTTTCTCCAAAGCATGTCCACCTTTCAGATGATGAAAATGATAAAGGGAAAGAGATTTGCATCTGCTTTTAGGTGTGGGGGTTTCCTTAATGCCACTGAAAGGAGGACTGTGGTCACTCAGAAGTAAATTAGTAACTGGAGGGGGAAAATACATTAAATATGGCCAATATTCCCATGACCTTATAGAGAAATTTCAAATGTGTTGATGTGGCATATTCTTATTTAACTCTTCAGGAGTTATGGAGGCTATAATTTATTGGCTTCTATATGTAGCTGCTGTAAGAAAAAAGTCTTTTAATATTTGCATGACATAGAGGTAGCAAAATGCTAGGCTCCCATTCAGCTACAACTTTGGTCCTAGCACTTAAGAACTACTTTAAATTCTACCCACATACATGCATTTTTTTCAGCTTAGTACCAGCACTCACATTTCTAATATGGATTTCACTTAACAAATACTTGCTGACTGATGCTACTCATGATTAATTTCCCTAACACTACTGCAAGGAGGATTGTGGTCATTGAAAACAAATTAATAACTGGAGAAAAAAGTACATTGATATAGCCAATATCTCAGTGATCCTACAGGGGAATTTTTCTTGAAAGTTATGCACAAGAGGAAGTGGTTAATAATGCATTTCTCAGCACTGTGTGTAAGATCTGAGAAGAGATTAACTTTTCAGAGCTAAACTTAAAACATAGGTTGGGTATCTCATGTACAATGCTTAAACCAAAACAAGAAATGTTAAAACCATCAGAAATTATATAAAATGCTATGCACATTTTTGCAATACTTGCACCACTGTTACAGTACTGTCACAGCAGGTTGCAGGAACCCCTCAGTCTATATAGTAAACTGTAAATCATGGGGAAGATGGAAATGTTGAGTTCATTCATAATGTCAGCATCTCAGAAGTTAAATTGTTATATGAATTTAAAGCTTCTGTCTTACCCTCTAGCAAAAAGAAATACTGAATAAATATGTGACAAGCCTGGGAAAAAGTAACTTTCTGGTTTTTTTTTTTTGTTTCTTCTTTCATCAGTGGCGGCACCTGACTTGCTGGATCCCAAATCTGCCACTCAGAACTCAAAGCCCAGGCTTTCATTTTCTACCAAACCCACTGTGCTTGCCTCACGGGAGGAGAGTGATACAACTATTAATGTTATGAAATGGAAGACGGTCTCAACCATTTTTCTGGTGGTGGTTCTGTATTTAATTATTGGAGCTACTGTTTTCAAAGCCCTGGAGCAGCCACATGAAAGTAACCAGAGAACAACCATTGTGCTCCAGAAGCAGGAGTTCGTATCACACCACAACTGTGTGAATGACACAGTACTTGAAGAACTGATTCAGGTAATTCCCTGTAAAGAAGTGTGCTCTTGCCATGTTTTAAAGGAAATGTTGTTTATTAGTTACACAGATGCAGCTATACCAGCTACAATGTACCATGGCCTGATATCCATAAGAAATAATGCTTGGCACAAGTAATTTGACTTAAGGCTTTATTGTGCAAAAATCATTGCTAATTTCATTTTTTATACTAGGCTAATGGAGCAAATCCTTCCATCAAATGCTTCTGTTGTGCTTCTTAAATTGCTGTTTGTTGGCAGATATAATACAGCATTCTCCTCTTACATTCAGGTTGTTATTTACTCATATTGCCTGGCAAAAGAATAAACGGGAGGCTTGCTGACTTGTATGATTATTATTTCTGGCCATAATCAAGTATAAGCAGTTCTTTGCAGAAGTCAGTGGAGGGTACCAGATACAACATATCACTTTGAACTTTTGAAGCTTACTGTACTTTAATTCCCACTAATACTACTGCCATTGGCAGGACAAATAGTGGTGAGGAGATTCCGTGGCAGAGCAGCTACTGCGTTCAGAGCTCTGCCTGTTGACTTCCCAGGAGGGAAATGGGAGGGGGTAGCTTTTAAAACCATTTGGTGGGGACATTTTTTGTTTCGTCCCTTTTATTGCAATCAATGGGAAGGACTTAATTTTGCCAGTTCCATGAGCGGTGTGGTTGTTGCCTACTTTGGGGAGCAGGTTAGGGGAATCCTCTTCCAAGTACACTGTGCCCCCAACTCCCCTGATTTGGTTCCTACTGCTGAGGAACTTTCCATGGGCTTACCAAGGAGACAGGATTTCCAGCGGTGTAAGTTTCATCTTATCAATGGGCCTCCCAGCTCCATTTCCACCTGCCCCTCCCCCAGTGAGTCTTCAAATGGCTTTAGGCTCACTCTCTTTACTATACTGTTTTCAGTGCTAGGAGAATAGAGACAAATCAGTATACTAAGACCACAGTAGTCAAAGGGTAGGGCCATGTTTATGCATGCATTTTATTAAATAAGTAAATTTATTCTGCCCCTGTTGTTGAAGTGCAGTCTGATTAAACTTACTTATTAAAAAGAATATTTGATTCTACCTATGAAAAGCCCAGACTTTTCAGTGTTTGAATGCACACACATTGTAAATCATTGCAAGATGCCTTATATTGGTGTTGCATTTGATCCCTTTCACTCTTGTCAATGTATAGAGCTCTGAATGAAAACAGGTGATGCCCCAGCTAGGTATGGCTGAATCTGCCTATTTTTAGCCTGTGTCACTTTAACATGTTTTTACCCATTATTCCATTCTACAGTGATCTGGTTTTTATAAATATATAAATGATAATTTCAAAAACACTTATTTAAATATGCATTTTAAGATATAATTTAAACATGAATTTTCTCCCCAAATGCATATTTAAACACAGTGCTTTTTTCAAAAAGGAAAAAAATGTTTAGGGGTACTCTCATTTTCATACTCATATTGAAATACTGCCCTTCAATGACTTAGATTCACAAAATATTTAGGGGTATGCATACCCCTGTATCCCTCCAGAAAAAAGCACTGTTTAAATGTGTATTTCCTCACAAAGTGTTTACTAAAATGCATATTTTTGGCATGCTTAAGCTGCTGAGGACTATGTCTTAATATTCAGGAAAGTGTTAATCAGGTAGATAGCTCAATTCAGATCCTCTCATTAATTGCTAAAGTGTGGGTCAGGTAATTTTATATAGAAAATCAAAGAAGTACTAAACTCTTCAAGCAGTCCTAATCAAAACTCTTGTGTTCAGATATTTCACAAATGCATACAATAATTTGCAAAGGTTGCATTTCTTAAGCACCCCTAATCCACAAATAGTTGGTTCTGGAGGGCTCCCAAGGTGGTAGTGAGAAAAGTTTGACATAATCCAGCAAACAACTGGTAGGATGGTTTTGATGGTATGTTTGTTTAAAGGGAGCAGTTTTAGCCCGTTTTAATATGCATTGGGTGACAACGTCATCATTTTATTGGACTCACTTTATGACCTGCCCATCTTGAAAAGTTCAGCTTCACCTGAGTTGCAGCCAACATGCTGATTGCCATTCTATAGCACAGTTGCGGGTTATCTAGGGGCCTCCTTATGTTGCTGAACTACAATTCCCATCATCCCTGGTTATTGGCGATGCTTGTTGGGCCTGATGGAAGCTGTGGTTCAGCAACATCTGGAGTGCAAAAGGTTCTCCATACTTTCTATAGCAGGCATAAGCTTTCACTCTTCCTCTTGCTTGGAAGTTTGCCCTCCTCCTGTCATCTTATGTAGTTACTTAATTGCTCTTGAAAATATATTGTGTTGAGCAATGGAGTTCAGTTGCTCATTCATGGTACAATTATAATAACAGTTTTCGCTTCAGTGGGGATTGTTCTCCCATGTGACTGAACACATAAACAGTATTTTAGAACTGAATTTTCTGAAGGATATAAAGATAAACATTATGCAATAGTAGGGTATTAAGATAGCTCTAATGATAGAGTGAGTGTGAAGAAAATTACAGAAATTTATTCACTATAATGTTCTGTTTTCAGACAATAGTTACCTGTTATCTTGTTTCAGGCTAAAATTAAATTCAGCTTCCTATAATTTTTTTTAGTCATTTGTGACTATGGGCAGTTGTAGTATAACAAGGACTTTTTGAAGCAATCCTATGAATGCATGCACATGGGACGTTTATATCACAACTAATTATTGATGAAAGTTTTCTCTACTCACCAGTAGGATTCTTGCTAAGATTTAACTCAATAGCATTTGATCTAAAGTGGAACATCCCTAATTGCTATTAATTTGTGGTAGATAACCTATATGTGCTACTTGTTGTGTACTACATATAATGTGGACGCGGGTGGCGCTGTGGGTAAAACCACAGCGCCTAGGGCTTGCCAATCGTATGGTCGGCAGTTCAAATCCCCACGGCGGGGTGAGCTCCCATCTTCGGTCCCAGCTCCTGCCCACCTAGCAGTTCGAAAGCACCCCTAAGTGCAAGTAGATAAATAGGTACCGCTTTATAGCGGGAAGGTAAACGGCGTTTCCGTGTGCTGCGCTGGTGCTGGCTCGCCAGAGCAGCTTCGTCACGCTGGCCACGTGACCCGGAAGTGTCTCTGGACAGCGCTGGCCCCCAGCCTCTTAAGTGAGATGGGCGCACAACCCTAGAGTCGGACACGACTGGCCCGTACGGGCAGGGGTAACCTTTACCTTTACCTTACTACATATAATATTTCTGTTCACTTTAATCTTTTCCCATAAGCCCTATTTTTATCATGTCTATAAAATGAGTAATCTGTGGAAAGTTTAAAAATTGTGTTAATTCCAACAACATAACTATTAAGTAGGTCATTATTATGACCTTTTACTTGGTCACTGGCTAGGATTTGAACCTTAGTATTCTAGTTGTGACAACTTGATAATGTGAAATTTGCAAGGTTTTTCTAATGGGGATTTCAATGCCAACATTTTTGGCTGTTTTTCTTTAAACTTGAATTATCTCCTCCCTCACCACTAAAGCATGATACAGTGGTACTTCGGTTTACGAACTTACCGTAATCCGTTCCGCAAATCCGTTCTTAAACTGAAACTGTTCTTAAACCGAGGTGCACTTTCCCTAATGAGGCCTCCCGCTTCCGGTGCCCTTCCACCATCCGGATTCCATTCTTAGACCAAGGTAAAGTTCTCAAACAAAGACACTATTTCCAGTTTTGCGAAGTTTGTAAACCAAATTGTTCTTAAACCGGACTGTTCTTAAACCGAGGTACTACTGTAATTCTCCCTTCCCAAGAGTTTTTACTATCCTAATTTTGCAACTTCCCAAATGTTTTCATTGCCTAAGTGCTTGTACAGTGGTACCTCAGGTTACAGACGCTTCAGGTTATAAACTCTGCTAATCCAGAAATAGTACCTCAGGTTAAGAACTTTGCTTCAGGGTGAGAACAGAAATCGTGTAGCGGTGGTGCGGCGGCAGCGGGAGGCCCCATTAGCTAAAGTGGTACCTCAGGTTAAGCACAGTTTCAGGTTAAGAACAGACCTCCAGAAGGAATTAAGTTCTTAACCCGAGGTACCACTGTATTTCCCACAGTCTTTAAACACTTCTTTTTGACTCAGTCAATATCCTCCATAGTGATAAAAGTCCCTATTTACTATAACTTACCGTAATTTTGTCAACATTTAATTAGTCTTCTTGTCATCTTTATATCTCTTTTTTGGGGGGCTCCATTTCTTGAAAAGTGAAAGTACTTATAAGAAACATTTTATAGTGTAAGTCTCTGCGTGTAAACAGAGTTATGTGAGACTTGCTTCTGGATAAGCATGTATAGAATTTCAGCTTTTAAAAGGCACAAAAGAAAACAACAATGGACACCATGGATTCTTACTATTCAACATTTTTTCTTTTGGATAATCATTCAACTCCAGTACCTTAGGCTGAAATGATTATTCTGGTCTAGGGTCAGATCATCATCATAACACGGAGAGATAAAACGCCTAGTAAACTGACTACATGAGAAGAACACACACTTCCAACTAGAGAAACCCAGTAGTCAATGGTATAGTTCATACATTAGCTAGGTGGCATATTTGGCACTTGAAAACCATTCAAGTATGGACTGAATCAATGAAAAGCATTCATTTGTGTCAGAATATTGGTTAATCAGGAAATTTTGTTAACTTTTGAGAAGTCCGCTTCCTCTGAAGTAACTTTTCTAATGATGCAGCAGTGATGTATTATTTGAAAACTGACATCAGGTTTCAAGAACCTGCTGAATAATTATGGAGTTATTAATTAACTTTGAGTGACCACAATCTTCCTTTCAGTGTATTTTATATTTTGGAACCATTATAATCAAGTCTAAAGCCAGTAAGCTATAAATTGCACTACACATATTATTTACTTCAGAGTAGGGTATGTTGAAATCCCAGACACTGTTGATTAGAATTAAGTATAATATGTGTTATGTTGAAGATGTGAGGAAGGCAGATCTAGAGCAAGACCATCAT